GAGCACCATGAGGAAGGATTTGGTCTAACAAAGGAGACTGCAGCCCCTAGTCTCAGTACTAGTAATGGCTACTTGAATATTGAAGGTGGAAAATACAGGGTTGTTTAGAAAACCGATTTACCTGGGAAAAAAAAATGAAATGTCCAAAGAGCAGATTCATTTGGCCTGCAGTATTTTAATGAAGCATGAAGGGTTACAGACAGGAGCTAGCTGGGAAAAGCTGTGCTATGATCTCTGAGACAGAGGCACAAGAGGTCCCTTGGTGACAGCACAGTCAGCACAGTGTGGGACCTTCCCCAAACTACACACCTGAGCTGCAAGGCCTGACAGGGTAGATAGGCATGCAAATGCCTCTGTGTACAGCAAATTCCTCTCTGCCCTACGTTTTCATTAATGCTTGCTATACAAATCTTGTTATTAGTGCTCCCTCAAGGGCCAGGCAGTAATTTGGATGCTGATTAGTGAGTGGGATGCAGCAGCAGCAGCGCAGCACAGGCTCTCTCCTGTCAGCACTTGAGTGAGAGGGAAGCAGAGCTCCCAGCTCCGCCTGCCACAGCAGCTGCTCCCGGGATCTAATGAGCTGCTCTGCAGTGGGAATAGTTTCAGAAACATATACTCACTCCAGGAGGGCTTACCAGGATATTTCTTTGTAATTAAATGTAATGACATCTAAACCCATAGTCAAGTTCTCATTGATAAACACTGGCAAATAAAAACCAGCAAGCGAAAATCAAACAATTAGCTATGTCAGCATTTTTATCATGGTCTTTTCTGAATTTTTTTCCTTTTCCTACCTCAGTGGTTTAGTAAAAAGCAATGAGATGCTAGATGATGTGGCAATATGTAGTTAGGACTGGCAAAAAGAAAACATTAAATACTTTTTGATCTTGCTATGTCTTCTAGAAGAAAGGAAAAGTAGTTGTGATTGCAGAAAAAAACAAGTATTATGTCCGTCAATTTCTAAATCAGAGTTCAGTGAGCTTGTTTTACAAATACCAATGGCTAATACAGATGGTGGTGGTCAAACACCAGTAAACTGGTAGATTAAAAAATATTTATTTTCTTTTACTGATGGAAAAACTGAAGTGTGAAATGACTGAAACATAATTTTCAAAAACTTAATATTTTTCTGCCACTAAATGGCAGGAGAATGAAGGATTATTTTCTGGTTTTAGTTTCTAAAATTGCCTGAGTCCAAGTCTATCAGCCACCTGTGATTTTTATCTACTCAGCTGTTTTCCCAAGGAAAATTCTAAACTCTCTAACAGAAGATTTCTCCAACAATTACACCAGCCTCTTACTGAGTTTATTTTGTGTAAAAACTGGCCTCTGACCTGTTCTGTTTCTCCAGTGCCTGACTGAAACCCCACAGAAAAGGCTTTTATTTGCTCTTGCTGAGGGGAAAGCAAGCAGGGTACTTAGCTGGATGAGATAAGCCTTTGCTGGATGAGACCTCTGCAGAGCCCATGGGTGACATCAGAGGCCAGGTCCTTTAAAACAGGTCACCTCTGGCCCTGCATGGCTGCTCCGAGTGCATTAACATTGGCCAGGGGGAGAAGCAAGGCAGATGAATTTTGATCTCGCTCTAAAACGACCACAAAGCTCCCCCAGCACGGGCACGATGTTTGCACAGCAAGGGAGATCCATGGAAGAAGTGATCTGCACCACCAAGCAGATTTCATTCCAGCTACAGTCAGCCTCCTTCCTCTGGGTTCTTCTCTGCCTTCAGATGAGGACAATTTTGAGGGAGCTCAGCTCCTTAGATCGGCTGGGCTGGGGGATGTGCCAGTGAAGACTCAAAGAGCTCCCCTGCCCTGTTTGGGACACAGCCCCCAGGGCTTCTTCAAACTATTTTGGCAACATAGTCGGGCCAGGTCTTGCAGGTTTCCCTGCAAGAGGGAAATGACACACCGCATATTTTAACAAAACTACACTTAATTGTTAGCACTTAATAATATGTGTCACATATTATTATCTTTCTCTCAAGTACCTGATGCCCCTCTTAAGAAATTCAGTGTAATCAGAAAAGGCTGTTTCTTATGGCTTGAAATTAAAAAAAAAAAAAAAAAAGGATTTGACTCCAAAAGGGCATGCATTCCCACTGCCTCCCTCTGAACCTTTATTTATTTGCAGACTGGCTGATTTAGGTTAGGATCAGTATTTGGTTCTTCCATTTATCATCAGTGCTAACTTTATGGAAATACAAAATAGATGGTTTCCCTGCAAGAGGGTGAGGTTTTGCCCTGGGTAAAGGCTAAAGCTTAGAACTCTGATTCAGAAAGGGGTCTGTGCAGGCAGATGGGCTCTCAGGAGTGACTTTCCTTAAAAAACTAAGGCTTTGTTTCAGAAAGTCTGTGCACAGATCTGGATTGATGGGAATACCCTTTAGACTGAATCCTTCATTGCATATTTATTTGTCTGGAGATACAGAAAAAAGCCTTAAATCCTGTTTATTTTGCCAGGTGATGCTCCAGCCTATATGAGGTAAGGCTCACACTAGGCTCAAACATTATTCACTCAGCACAAGGGAAAGTCCTCAACTGCTTTTTCCTTCCTCAGCATGGATGTAAAGAAGTCACTAAAAAAAGCTCCAGTCTTATTTTTACTTACCTCCATTTGGGTATGTACAAACCCATTCTCAGGTCTTCACATGATTTCTATTACACTTCTTTAAAACAAAAACACAAAAACTGCCAAGAAATTACTTGACTGATTAGAGTCCTGTTAGTAATTAGAGCAGCCTAGAATAAGTTACACTGGAAAAAAGCTGTATGTTGAGATTTGGAATACAATACAGCTATATTGTGTTCTGTGAACAATGTTATGGTCTGTGAGGACCAGCCAGCTGTACCTTTCCCTTCATCTCACAACTCTCTTGAAACACTTCATGGCTCCTGCCCAGAGTTTGTATCTTTCAGGCCCCTAGGTTACTTTCCAATCTCTGTTTACTGATTTGGAAAATGTTTGTTTATGTGATTTTACAGGCTGTCCTTAAGTGTCCACATTGTCTGATGCTTCTCACTGGCACTATTTGCCCTGTGGATATGAATGGTTTATCTAACTCCATACAGGACCAGTCCTTATTCCCAAAGCTGCCTGTCACAGAAAGGCTGCTGGCTGAAGGGAAAGGCTGCAAATGTTCCAGTTCTGACAATTTTAGTGTCACATCACTCAGAACACTAAATGTGCGAGCCCGAAGGGTTGGAGTTGTGCACATTCTGAGGATCAAGACCTGAAACACAACAAAGCTACTGATGTCAGTTTTTGTTCCTTATGCAAGCATCACCTTGGGTTCACAAAACATATTTTTAATCTGGGCAAATTTAGATCTTCAGGAAGGAATGGGACGTAACTTACTCTTCATTGTTCTTTGCTGAAAGTCCCTGATTTATTCAAATTTCAGCATTTAAGCTAAATCCAGTATCTTGAATAAAACAAAAGTCTAATGTTGACTAATTGATGTGTTGGTATGCAACCAATAAGAAAGGCTGCAAGCACATACATAATCCCCCATTTAACCAGCCTGACTTCATACCCCAAAGTGTTTTGTGGGCTGGAATAGACACTTCTATACTGAAATAGACACTACTGTACTTATTTACAGGTAGGGAAGTCCAGGAGGAGATCAGTGACCTTACCAAAGTTCACGCAAATGTCAATGGCAGGAAACTCCTGATTGTCTTGTCTAATTCTGTGTCTGTGGGACCATGCTTTAGTAATCAGCCCTGTTTTCAATTACATTTTTTAACCCTGAGTGATTTGAACATCTTTCTGAGAGAGATAATGCAAAATACTTATATTGAAAAATCTAGTAAATCAATTAATGTTTGAAAGAAGCACAGAGACAATGGTAAAGGATGTGACAGAAAATGTGATCGACCCAGCTGCATGGACTGGCTTGTCCCCTCATACACAGCACACCACAAGAGGCCAATATCTACAGAATAAGTCAGATGAAATGATATTGCCTAGGCCTAATTCTTTGCTCAGACCTATGGCTACAGATCTGTCCCACCTCAGTGAAAATTACTGATACACTGATATCTGCCAGTGGAAAATTTTAGAAGGCCCATTGCAACAGTGAGAGATTGATGTCTATGTTTTGAATGACATTTTATTTTAGGACTCCAAACTACTGTGTATCAAATATCCTGCATGATCTTTGTCAAATATTTGTGAAATCATCAGCAGGAGACAGATACTTTCTGGCCATTAACCACATGAAGACAACAGCAGCGAAATAATTTAGCTCATAGAAAAAATGGTTACATGCCATGGTTAGGAAGAGCCTTGAGCCTCCTCTGTGTCATACAATCTTAGTTGTTCAAACAAATTCTCAGAGGCTTATTTTTAATAGAAGTCTGAAGTTTTGCCAATTCTGCCATACACGTAGCCTAAAGCAAATTAAGGTAACAAAAGTAAAAAGTTTCAGTAAAAAATTCAGTCTGGTAATGTCATAAATTTTTTAAGGTGAAAGATCCCTCTTTGTTAAGCTTTGTTTTGTTAATTTTACGTATTACTGCAAGGCACTATTCAGTACCAGTATTGGTATATTAATAACTTAACGGAGGTGAGGTTCTTGTTATTATTCGAGTGCAGTGGAACCCTTTGTGAGTTTGCTTCACACCATTTGCCAACCAGGCCTTTTCTGACCACAGAAGAAAGCTCAGTCCCCGGGCAAAGCAGTCCCTGAGAGCCCAACTTGCAGTGCAGAGCCCTGCTGCCAGCCAGGACAAAGGACCTGCTGCTGAAGGAACTCCATTGCTCACTGTTATTCACAGACAAAAATGGGAGTTAAGTGTTTCAGATGCAGTGCTTATGTCTAAATGCTAATCAGGGCCTCTGGCTTTCTGAGACACACAAATGAGAAAGAAAAGCTGTAAATTAGAAGGTTAATTTCTTATTTACAGCAGTGCTGTAGGTTCATGGCAGAGTTACAAATGTTAGCCCCGAGAAATGCTTCTGTATTAACTTTCCTCTTTTCATATGTTTTTCTCCAGAAAAGGACGAGAAGAGAACAAACATCTCACAGGCAGAGGTAAGTGATTTTATTTTTCCTAAACATATTTATTGTTAAAATAGTTCAATTGTTAAAAACTCTTGGAAACTCACTGATTCATCCTGGTGGATACTTTTATTTACATTGTCATGCCATCTGCAGTAACACAGCCTTTTAAGAGCCATCATTTTGAAAGCAGGGCTGTGTCAAGCCGTGTTGTGTGTTGTGCCAGCTCCCTGTAGCAGGGAGCTGGGAGAGGTGAGCTTCCCCTCTGCCTTGGTGCCATGCCCTGCCAAAGCACAGCACAGCCAAGGTGACCCTGGATCACTCCCCTCGCATGGTTCCTGCAAGCCCCTGATCTCTTTCTCCTTCACCCACTGCTCAGAGCACCTTAAATAGCAGCAGGAGGTATTGATTGGTTCAAATTTGAACTCCAATACAAGCATATAAAGATTTGCTGGCGTGAGGTTCACCAGGTTATCCCATAGTGTTTATAAATAGCTTTCTCTTTCCAAAGACAATATTTTATTTATAAATGTTATTATTCTATCCACTGTGATAAGCTAAATTAATAGGATTAGCCCTACTTGTGTGAAACATATCTCCAACATTCCATGACAAAATAGATCTGAATAAAATTCATGGTGTATATATTAGGCATTTTTAGCAAATGTTTGGGTAAAGGCAACATCATTACTACAACCAGAAATTGATAAAATGAGGGGGGGAAAAAAAGCTTGGTTACACACAGTTTTTCCTTAACCTTTTGGTTAGGAGTGTGATATGGTGTTTATGTCTTCCAAAACTAGCTGAGGGTGTACTGTATGAGGCTTGCTTGTCCTTTTTATGTAGACATAATTTATGTTGGTATAATATTGACTCCAATTTAGCTGCTTTCATTTTGCAAAAGCTGCTCTGCTTTAGCACTGAATGTACTCCAGTTAGTTTTTGCTAACTAAACATTGATATAATGTAGTAATACTATTATTACTCTATGTGTATTGGGATAATATAATAATACTATTATTGCTCTATATGTAATTTTACTGCCATTATTTTGGAATAATTTATCTTTTGTGCATAGATGAGATTTTGAGGCCACACAAAGTTTAACTAAATACAGCACTCAAATGAGGCTCAGTTAAAGGCTGAGTGATTGCTGCTGAAATTATGATCTTGGGTTTAATAGAACATATTGAAAAGGTACAGGGGGAGGGATTTTCCACTTATTTATATTAAAATGTATATATTAATATTTTAGTACCACCTTACACATGCACATAATCACTGATTACACTGTAATTGGAATGTTGGCTAATGTAAACCTTGCAACTATTTTGATATACATGGACATTTATTTGCCTTATGAGAATCAATTACACAGGTTGTTAAAAGCACAGGCTATCCTAATTTTATGTTACACAATATTTTATAGAGTGAAGGGTAATTTTCAGTAGTATTGGGTCCATTTTGCCTGGGAGTCATAAAGGTTGTCCATTAAACACATATTTTTGTCTTAGTTGTCCTGTGTACATGACAGCCTGGCAGCTGGCATCAGCTGTACACGGTTTGTTTTCCTCGGAAGCTCTCGGATGGGCGCTCAGATGGGTGCGCACGGAGCTGCCAGGAGCAGAAATCTCTCTCTCTGTGCCCGTGTCTCACTGCCCCTCTCTGTTTTGTCCCCGCAGTCGCAGAGTGCCTCTCCCAAGCAGAGGAAGCAGAGCGTCTTCACCCCGCCTGCCCTCAAAGGTACCGTGAGCTCCTGCCGGCCCCTGGCACCGCTCCCTGGTTCCTGGGGGGACAGCGGCACCGGAGCAGTGCCACAGGGTCGTGCCCAGCCACCTCTGCCCGGCACTGCCCACCTGCCTGATGCTCACCATCTCCCCATCCTCAGCACAGAATCTTGCTGCAGGGGCAAATTTATTTGCTTGAGGAAAAAAACCCAAAGTTTTATGCTTTGATTAGTTTGCTGTAACACATAATTCAATGCAAAACTATGAACAGAGCTTCTTGAATATGTAAATTCTATTGGCGCTGGCCCCATAGAGTTCTCTGTTTCTTATTTGAAACCACTCCCCCATATTCTGGCTCTCATTTCCAGGCAGCTGTGAAAAGGAGAACAACCAAAACTGTGCTCTGGGTATGTGACAATAGGGTGTGTAAAGACTTTCTCGGGAAGATAAGGAAAATGAGAAGTCTTGATGAAAGTTTTGAGGGATAACATGCTGTTTAGGAATATGTACAAAAGCAGCAGTGATATCACCTGGGATCAGAACAGCTACATTTAGGCCTTGCTTCTTACGTAGTTCTGCACAGAATTTGACTGGATGGAGATTGCAGTAAAGCAAGATCTGTGGTGATTCACCAGCATGTCTGGCTGACACTTGTCAGGGCAGGATTATTTCAGAGTGCAGTCTAAAGGCCATCCTGCCAGGTGTCTCTTGATAGGTAATGAATACGTAAATTTCCATTTGTCTGCTTAACACAGTTTATTACCTGGGATATCTGATTAGTTGTGTGAAATATTGCTGCTGTCATGAGGTAATCTACCGTATCAGCCAGTTCTATGTGTCTCATTCTGGAGCTGCAGTTCTCTAGCACTTGTCCTAATCACAGTTAAAATATCACTCAGATGCCTGAACAAGACTGTTTGCCAAAATAGGCTGAAGTTCGTGTGCTGGATATTAGAAATAATCTTATGATGTTCAATTTCAATATTTTTTCTGGAAGAAAAATTATTTGCATGGATAGCAATACCTATTGATCTCACTGCTGTATTATTTTGCTGTACAAGCCTAAACTAAATGCTGTGCAAATGAAGTGCAGTGTAAAACAGGTCCTCATAGCTCCTCTCTAGAGCTGCCTTAGCATCCTGAATTACACCATAGTCCCAGATACACAAGTAGGCACTTGGAAATTGATAACCCTTCCTGTAAACTGGCTGGATTGCTCCAGCTCTACCATACTGTTACTGTCATAAATATGAACTTTTTAATTTAAAAATTACCTGGTTGGAAATTTATTATTCTTCCTTTTCACTGATATGAAAACATTACTTTTTTTTTGTTTGGACTAAGAGACTGTGAGGCAAATATATAGCAATATGAAATGCACAAAGCTGTTTTTACTGAGAAATACAGAGTTTTTGTAATGATTTAAACCATTCTAGTTTTATAGCAGTTGAAGATACTGTTGAACACTATTCAACAGTATTTTCTGAATAACAGGCTTCTCAGTTGCACACTCCTCCTCAACTTTGAGCATATACTCATACATTTCCTGTGCACTGTTTTTCCCACAGTGTATTCATAATATGGTATTTGATACACAGTAAAGTGAAAAAATAAAATTCTTTACAGCTCCTTGTCTGCTCCATACCCTCTGAGGCTGTTACTAATGGAAGCTGGGATAGACTACAGTCTGGTACCTTACATTTAAAGCTGGAGATAATAAATGGAGTGGAGAAGAGGGACAAATATTTTCATTTGTTAACTTCTGGGGCATTTTAGTAGTTTGTAGCTGCTGTTAACTCAAAGTTCCCAGAAATAAGCCAAGCTTGCAGGCAGTGGAACTGAGCCTGGAAGCTGAGACAGCAGCTGTGTGCAGAAGGCTGTGGGAAAGAAAAGGGGCCATGGCAGGAGCTTTGCTCCATGCCTGCAGCAGAAAGGGATCAAGAGAAACCATGGGCAGAGTCATACTTCAGCCTGACTCCAAATCTCCAAGTAGCTGAAAATAGTTTTGTTACAGTTTTCTGTAAGTGTCTTGAAATAATTACAAAACTGGGTGAGAGAAAGGTTGCTGGTTTCTGTATTGATGGCAAGGTAGGAGAGAGAAAGAGGAAATTAATGTTGATGTTGTGGATAGAAGCCCAGATAGAATGGGAAATTGGTGGCATGGTTGAAAAGAGCTGAAGGAACATCAGACAATGGTGATGACTGGTTACAATACCAGATCTATAGTACATGTTACATGAAAATATATGCAATAAATGCAGTACTGCTGAGGTTTTACCTATCATGGTAAACATATGGAGATCAGCCTCTTAGTTAAATTGCCCAGATGAAGGATTCACATTATCCAGAGAAGCTGTGACTTCCATCCCTGGAAGTGTCCAAGGCCAGTTTGCTTGGACCTCTAGGAAACCTGGTCTAGTGGGCAGAGTCCTGTCCATTGAAGCGGGGCTGGAATGAGATGATCTTTAATGTCTTTTCCAACCCCAACCATTCTATGATTCTGTGATTCTATTCTTTGATAAATATGGGGGCATATTTTTTCCTTCTGCCATTGCACTTATTAAACTAAAATTCAGCATTATTATCTGTCTAAGACCATCCCTAAATATTTCAGTTTCATCATTGCAGAAACTTCCTCTAGCTCAAGGCTGGGCTGTGGCTGCTGCAGCAAGCTGTAGCAAACCTGGTGCAACAGGCAGGTCCTTATTACTGCATATCTGTGTGTACTTTGGCTCCTGCTTTTATTTTCCTAAACAAAAACACACCAGAGTTCCTACAGACAGAGCAAATAGCTGACTCATCTCAGAGCATTGTTCTTTTTACTGGAATACAGTGTGCTGGAAAAATCAATGTGAGAGCTATTGATTTAAGTAGTAATCTGGAGAGGGACTCAGCTGGCCAACCAGATAACAGCTGAGCATCGTGTGCCTCTTAGTATTATATTACCAAAGCTAATGGATGTCAAAGAGGTTTTCCATTTTGCTTTCATAGATACTTCTTTCCTAACCTGCCTCACTAGTGTTTAATTCCATGCTGGTATGTAGCATGCAGTGTTGGCAAAAGTCAGGGTCTGAAGATTGCACCAAAGGAACCCATTCTATTTTCTGTATGTTGTGATTCACCCCTTGTCACAGTTTTTTTCTATGTTTAGCAGCAGTCTTAACTAAGGGTTCATCATCTCCAGTTCCCCTCTTTGTGTCAGTTTTTCTTCTGTTATTCATGCGCTTTTATGCGTGAACTTCAAATTTTCTCATCCTTTAAGGTCTTCTTCTTAATGTGTGAAGGTTAGCTTGAACCTGCCTATGAAAAATACCATAAAAACAACCACAGGAATGTTTTGCAATTTGAATAGTCACCACTTTTGCCTTGGGCAATCTTTTCCAGTCAGTTCTCAATGTGTAAGGCCTTTTTCCTCTTTACTAATCTGCTTCTTGTTCTGTATGACAAAGCCAAGAAGAATCCTTTGATCCTTTTCCAAAGTAGATGTCCAGCTGCTTTAGCACAAAGGTCCTTCCATCCATCAAAGCACAAACAGCATCTTCAGAAATGTCTTCATTGTTCTGCTTGGTGGGCTAGAGGAGCCCCTGGAAGTCTTGCTGGAGGCTCATTTTTTACCCTCACACTTGCCAGAGAAGTCTAAAATGGGATGATAACCCTTCCAGACAGAGAGGGACCAAGTGAAGGCACCTTAGACTGCCAAGGCAGAAGTGGATTGTACTTACCCCAGGTGAAGGTGCTTCCTTAGTGTCTCATTGCCACTTGAAAATCAAAAGAGCACATCTGAGTCTCCGAGCTGCAGCTGCAGCTTCCCATGCCCGGGCATGCTTCGTGCTGAGGCAGGTTTCCTTTCTCCCAGGTAGTCATGTTTTGTTTGGTAGCTCAGCTCATCCTTGGAAGGAAATGCTGACAGCAGTGGCAGGAAGCAAGGTTTACACAGGCTAACAGAAGAGAGCCTGAGCTGTTCCCAAACCTGCATTGCTCCCTAGAGGTCCCAAAGCCCCACAATATCTACCAGCTATTGCTATTAATACTAGTGGCTATTTAAATACCACCAAGGTCTCCCCCTGTGAAGGAAGTGCACGTTCCCAAGTGATTTGAGGATTTCATTAGCAGTGAGTCTACTAGCCTGGATGTGCTAGAGGTCAGGGAAGTAGGAAAACTTCACTCATCTTAGTTCACTCTGCAAGAGGCTGTTCAGATCAGATCAAGATCTTGCTAATTTCAGCAGGCTTTAGAGCAAGTTACTCTAGCTGTCTGTGTTCACTGGACCACTTTCCCAATGAGGAGCCATCAAATCATAATTAAAGTCATTCTCCACACAAGTAAGAGATATATTTGACTGTTTTCCCTCTCAGCCTTTTGGGAAACAAAAGCTTTAAATTCCCCTCCTAATGTATTTTTCTTTGCATAAAAACAAAGGCCTTTTCCTGGGCTAGGCCCCAGCTACAAGATTTGAAATGGGATAAAATCAGGGCTGTTATAAATCTAAGGAACATTCAAAGACATTATTTTGGTTTGAGTCATTAAAACAACAAGAACTCACTGGCTTTTCCCAAAGTGTTCAGACCCGGGGATTTGATACATGCATAATTCTCGTATTTACAATGATGGTTGATATTAAATGAGCTCTTTCTAGCTTCTGCCATGAATTTCAGGTGCTCTGCTTGTTTAGTGCCTGCCTGTTCTTCTCTCCAAAGGAAACAACATGCAGAATAAATGATTAAAATCATGATGTCCCTCCTGAAATATGTAATTTATTAGAAGCAATTAGTAGAGTATGTGGCCCTCATCCAAATTTGTAACCCCTTAGGCCAGCTTGCTGATGTCTGATGCATCTCATTACTTTGTGAGTGAAGGTTAACAATGAACACGGGTAGAGTCTGGAGACATTAAAGATTATTGTTAGTATGGCAAGCACTGAGTTTGGAACCCATGAGAATCATGGTAGAACAAAAATCTCAGGCTAAATTTACTTCAAGTGGCACAATAATTAAGTTTCTAAGGCTTTAGCAGTCA